CTAAAAGTCAGATAAGCTTATATTCTATTGACAAGGAAATCAGTGTATTTTGCTTTTTGTTTTTAGTCAGAGATTTTCTTTTTTTTATTATTTTTTAAAAAAGAAAAAATAAAAAAACCTTAAACTTTTATTTGTTTAATATATACTCTTTACTTATTTTCTCCAAGATGAACACACCAGCAGAGAGATTTTCTAGTAAATTGGAAAATTTGGTGAATTAAAGTAAAAATGTGCAAGTTAAAGCAGGCTCAGGTCATTTTTGTCTTCTTATTTGATTTTATTTTTTTCTGTACATCTTCATTTCTGATAGAGTGAACAGCTTTTGTGAGTTAGAGGTGTTGAGGCTTTTTACACTGATCTAATTGACATTGGATGAAGGCTTTTGGAAGTGTAAGCCACTATACTAATATTGAAAAAGGAAGCACTGTCAAGTAAATACTTAAAGGTCAGGCAGTGTTCAATTTCATTTCTATTAATTCTGAAAACTTGAGAAAAAAAGTCAAATATGATTAAATTGGCATGTGATCAGAAATATCATTATTGAGTCATTTTGAAGCTGTCTTTGAAGTAGAAAACTATTAAACTTAATAGTGGGTTGTAACTATTATAAAAATGAATAGAATATGAGATTAACTAGTTAGTAGACACTCTTCAATCCATAGAGTAGGTGGAGTGTTAATTTTTCTTCCAAAATGTTTATAAATTTGTTTCTCTGCAGTATATACAAATAAGGTGCTTGTGGAGAGCAATTTGGCAATATTATCAAGATCTGCAGAAATATTCATACCTTTTGAATAGTAAGGCTTGTAAGAATCTATTCTGAAAGCATAATCAGAAATGCAGATAAATATGTATGAATATGGGCCAAGTGCAGTGGCTCATGCCTCTAATACTAGCACTCTGGGAAGCTGAGGTGGGAGGATCACCTTGTGCCGAGGAGTTCGAGACCATCCTGAGCAAGAGCAAGACTCCATCTCTGCTAAAAATAATAGGAAAAAAAATTAGCTCATGCCTGTAATCCTAGCACTCTGGGAGGCCGAGGTGGGCGGATTGTTTGAGCTCAGGAGTTTGAGACCAGCCTGAGCAAGAGCAAGACCCCGTCTCTACTAAAAAAAATAGAAAGAAATGATCTGGACAACTAAAAATATATAGAAAAAATTAGCCGGGCATGGTGGCACATGCCTGTAGTCCCAGCTACTCGGGAGGCTGAGGCAGTAGGATTGCTTGAGCCCAGGAGTTTGAGGTTGCTGTGAGCTAGGCTAACGCCACGGCACTCACTCTAGCCAGGGCAACAGAGTGAGACTGTGTCTCAAAAAAAAATTAGCCGAGTGACTAAAAAAAATAGAAAAAATTAGCCGGGCATGGTGGCACATGCCTGTAGTCCGAGCTACTGGTGAGGCTGAGGCAGGAGGATTGCTTAAGCCTAGAAGTTTGAGGTTGCTGTGAACTAGGCTGATACCATGATGCTCTAGCCCAGAGGATAGAGAAAGACTCTGTCTCCAAAAAAAAAAAAGAAAAAAAAGTATGAATATGGATGTTTCTTACACTTTGTAAATGCAAAAAATTGGAATGAACTAAACTGTCAACATTAAGTAAATGATCGACTATTTTTATTCAACTTTCAAAATTTTGTTTTTGAAGAGTAGTTAATGGATAAGTAGTCACAGTATGTAGAGTGAAAAAACGACATTAAAATATGTAAGATATGCAAATTTTGTTGAAGCAAAGGCTCTGTTTAAGCATCTATATTTACATATAATTTTTAAGCTTAGAGCCTACATCACCTTTTTGTAGAGAAGAAAAACATACACATCTAAGATATATCTGCTTATCCTTAACTGCTTTTGATCCTAGGGAACTTGGGATCTTTTGAATGACCCTACACAACATGAGAGTCTATAGCTTGGGACCACGTTTTTAAAGGGACCAAACAGCATTTACATACTATAAAACAGTTTTTTTCACTCTGACTTTGTTATATCGTTAATGGTGATGCTAAGATAGGTACATATAGATGGAATTGGGTATTGTTAAATAACATGCACCTTGGAGTCTGGTGGTCTGGATTTTAACCCTGGATCTGTCACTTACCAGCTGTGTGATCTTGGGCAAGTTACTCAAACTCTGTCTGCCTCCTTCTTTACTTACACAGTTCAGTATGTAACTCACAGGATAACTGTGAGAATTAAAAGAGTTAATACATGCAAAGCATTTAGAAAACTGTCTATTGCATAGTAAACTTCCAAAAAGAGTTATTATCGTTAATATTATTTAGAAACATTTGTTATTAGCTGTTACCTAATGAAAACTTTTTCATTTTTTTAAGTGAAAATTGAAACCAACTAATAAAATAATTTAACTTTTTTTAAAAACTTCAAATCATACATTACTTTGGATGTTATTATATTTTATGGTATTGTTACTATTTATCAATTAATTTGTGTTTCTATATTTTATAGCTTCATGTCTGATGAAGAGATAAAATGACTTAGCTAAGCCCAACCCAGTAATTATTAGGACTAGTACCAAAACCCAGGTTTTCTTGACTGATTATTGGTTATAGGCGGTAAATACCTTCTATCATAGCTAACATTTCCCTACTTAATCAAAATGCTTATTTAACATTTAACTTAACAGAATGTATATTTTTATATTCATTCTAGTAGCCATCTTTGAACATTCCATTAGGTAGATGTAGTATTTCTTAGGTTAAAAAAAAAATGGAACAGAGGTTCTATTGATTTAGAATTTTTTCTCACTTAATTTTGACAACTATTAAAAAAAATTCTTGAGTAACAAAAGTTAAATAAGTCAATAACATGTTAGGTATTTTAATCATAAGTATGTGATATAAATGGTTCTGTGTCTTTGACTGATTCTGTGTTTATAGGCAAAGGGTGTCCTCTTAACAGTTTATTATTTGGGATGTAAAAGCAAGTTAATGACAGATGAAAACTTGTCACAAGAATTTCCAAGTACCATTTGAAACCTTAGTTGAGGTCTTTATTAGAGATTTTGTTGTATAGGAACTAAGCCTGCAAAAACTTTTACCTTTCTTTGTTGGGATAGATATGCTCTTGGGTTTTCCACCAGGGTATTATTATTATTACTGTACTGTTATTCACCTTGGCAAATACTAATAGATATAGCAATGTTTATGATTAAGATTATTTTAAATCCATTAATGTAACTCCACTTCGTTGTAGATGCATTCGTGTCAATAAGTTTCAAAGAGTTGATCCTGATGTCCTGAAAGCCTGTGAGAACAGCTGCATCTTGTATAGCGACCTGGGCTTGCCAAAGGAGCTTACTCTCTGGGTGGACCCATGTGAGGTGTGCTGTCGGTGAGTTCTTGAGTCTGGTGGCTAAACTGATTACTGTGCTGGAACTGATTTCATGAAATTCTCTCGTATGTGGTCTGCCTGTAGCTTTATGACCATAAACTGGGGGTTTAGCTTTCTCAGATATCAATAAATTTTACAAAGTACTCTTCTGGAGGTGGTGGTGAAGGACTGGTTACATTCCTGCTTTACCATGAAGAAACTTAGAAACTGGGCATGGTTTTTGGAGAGCTTTGCCAAGAAGTTTATTGTAGGCCAAGAAGTAGAACTTAGATACCTTCATTCTTCTGGGTCAATTGTTATCTTTTTCTTCTTTAAGTTAAGGAAGAAGCTAATCCCAAATAATACTGGATAATAATTTTTGGTTGGCCTCTGTTTCTGTTTGTCTCTACTCTCCCTCCCCTTTTTGATTTTTAAGTGACTGACAGGTACAGTCATTTTTTTTTCATAATGGAAATTACTTTTCTCATCTAATGAGCAGAATTGTAAAAGATGAGTGCCAGGTATGAAACCTATTTGAACTCCATTCACTCAAAAAATATTCATTGTGGACCAGGTACTCTTAGTTGTGGGGTTTTCAGAAATGAAAGCACTATTCTGTAGTTATTCTGTACATAGTTCAGAGTGTAATAAGGGAGAGGAAACGATAAGCAAATTACAACATAGTCTGATTTGTGCTATAATAGAAGTGTGTACAAAATGCAGTGGTAGGTGGCACAAAAGAATAAGTTATTGGATCTGCTGGGGAGTCAGGAAAGACTCGGCCAAATAGGTGATACTTGAACTGGGATGGGAGGGATGAGTCATGGTTGACCAGGTGACAAGGTGGGAAGGACATTCCACAAGAGGAGTAACAGAATGAACAGAGGCATGGAACCCCTGCAGGAATTTTCCTATCGCTATATTTTTAAGGTATTTCTCTTTGGTTTTGTGGTACAATTCACCTGATCACCTAGCCTCTCTATTCATTGTAGTAGAGCTGCTCTTTGCTACAACCCTAACTATATGCTCCAAAGGTGGTCACAGATTTTGACGTGATCTCCAACAGTGAAGGTGGATGTAAAAACATAAAGTGCTAAAAATACACCTTTGTTCTTCCATAATTTTATCAGGACCATCCCTGGAAATTACTGCCTGATTTGCCAGTGGTTGATATATAAGTTTATTGCTTCGGGAAACCAGGCGTAGGTGGTAGAGGTTTATGGAGGTGAAGATTCTCCAACGCCTCTTTCTCAGATAGAAAAAGAAGAGAAATCCATCTTAAGTTTATGTCTGAGAAAGTCAAACATTTTTAGATTTTGGGACTAATTAAGGACTCACCTCAGGCTAGTGTCAGGCTTTGGAGACTTTAGCCACTGAACCTCCACAGAAGACCTCAGTTTGTAAATAATAGCAGTCACAACATTACTTTGTTGAATTGCTTGCTTTTTTATTTGACCTGCACTTAGATCCTGGATGGCTCTATATTTAACACAGTTCTTTAGGTTAGCTGTGTAGTTTCTCATCCCATAAAAAATGAGAAGCAGCATTTGAAAGAGAGTGTTCACAGTAGTCTTAAAGTTACAAAAATGTCACATGGTCTGACACAGAGGCAACAGTGAAACAGCTAGAGTTAGCACAATTATATTATCACATAGTCAGACAGTTAATATTTAATATCATCCTAAATCAACAGGGAATAGTTTTTATCTCCAGGGATGTTTAAGAAGTTGGGTAATTACATAAACATTTTGGACATATTTAATAAGTCTCAGCACCTGAAGATAAAAACTTCAGTTATATGGGCAGTCACTTAAGTAGATACTTCATTACTTGATGATGCCTGATAATTAAAAACTACTGTGCTTTCATCTTACCAATTTTTAAAAATCTCTGTACTTAGTAGCCTTCTAATAATTTTTTTTCTTTTTTTTCCACTGAGGCATTTTATTTGCAAGTATGTATTACATCCCTAGAAAAAGAATCCCAGAATTTTCCCTCCTGCGTGTTTTCTTCTTGCTTCTTCATGGTCCATGATGCCAGCTGAAGTTGTCAGTACAATGAAACCAAACTGGCGGGATGGGAGCAGATTATTCTGCCATTTTTCTAGATCTTTGAGTTGCACATCAAATCTGGGGCTGATCACTCCACACTTGTTTAACCTGCCTGTGAGGTTCACAGCAATTTTCCCAGCTCCGTGATCATCGATGATTTCAAATTCGCCAATGTAACCATGCTTCATCATCACAGTTAGAAACCGGACGATGACTTTGGAGCACGGCCTGATAAAAACCTGGCATTTGCCTCTCTTTTCGGCATTGTCGATGCTCTTAAGAGCATCAGACAGGACATTCAGGTGCACCATTATGGCGGCACGGAAAGATGGCGGAAAGAGCTAATAATTTTTTATATGGTTAAAATTTTGCCAGAAATGTGTATGATGTGATTTTTTTTCCCACAGCTAATAGAAATCACCTTCAGAATGTAGGGTGTTCATTCAGAGGTAATAAAACCCCAAAAAGATTAGCAATCGAGTAGAGATGACTGAGTAGAAGTGGTTAATATAGTAGTAGCTGGAGAGTTCTTTTGGTCCCAAACTGGAAAGACAAATATTCTGAAAATTAAAACAAAGCTGATCTAGCAGTTACACAGTTGAACGAATATCTGAGACTCTTTAAAAACAATAACTCATTGGTATACCAGAGACTGAGGTTGTAAAAAAAAAATTGAGATGCTATCAGAGAGAACATTCTTCATAGTCCTCAGTTATTGTGTTAGAAAAAAATGTTGGAAGAGTGCAGAGTGCCATATAGTTAGAAAGGTTTACCACTTAGTGAAATGTTTGAGAGGATACAGAATAGATAACAGATCTTTCCTATGATGAGAAGGTCTGAGAATAGCTGGCAACTTCATTATCTTCTCAACATATTCTACAACTTTTTTTTTGTAATTTCTGCAATCCTTTTTTTTTCTGATAAAGAGCATTGAATATTGATTTGTTTCAAAATAACTAAATTAGCCTTGATGTTTTAGCAGTACATCATTGAAAAATAGAGAATTTAAAAGTTGTCCAGCTATTACTAATTCTCCTAAGGCATTAAGTATGTGTTCTAATGTTACAATAATATAGTCAGAAAGCTTCTCTTACCATGGAGAGAGCCCTCATACCAAAATATTACAAAGGAAAAGGTACAGAACCTAACTGGATGTTAGTAAAGCTGATCCTTCGGTCATCAGATGGCAGCCCTTGATTTAAGTTTCTGTTTCTACAAAAGCAGGGGTTTTCCTCAAATTTCCTGCCTTTCTGTTTTGCTTGAATTTTGACTTCATTAATGAGCAAAACTGAAGATTGGCCTATGCCCGTTGTTAATATTACTGGTATTAACATATTAATTAACCTTTATTGTATTGAAATTTGTTGAATCTTCAAACCATGAAGAGGACAGAGAGGTAAACTTCCATTGCCGAAACCTTATACTAAGTAAACTTGAAATTACAGCACACAAATTCTATGTTGTAAGAAACTCACCCAACTGTTCAGGCCCTTTGTACTATGCACAGTCACCAGCTGAAGATCAACCAGTATCTAGCCAGCTCTAGCTTCCTCATCCAGCAGGTAGAAAATTAAGGCCTGTGGAAATTAAGTGACTTGCCTCTGCTTACAGAGCTACTTAGTGGCAGAGATAGTTAATGACAGAGCCAGAATGAGAAACTAGTCTAATGCGGTTTCTACTGTCCTATAGCAACTTTTCCTATGAGGCAAACTGAAAAAGATTAGAAAAGGGAGTTACGTACCATATTAAGATTTATGGCTTCATTCAGCCTATGGGAATGGAAGACAGGACAGCTATATGAAGAAATGGAACTCATCTGTGAGGCTACTTGATTACCATGTAAATTTTCAAAGGCTTTATAGCAGTTAAGCCTTTTACTGTATTATCCTGATTCAAAAGTAATTTGAGACAAGAGTTATCTTGAAATAAAAGTGAGTTGACACCAGTTAACCCTATTTTTCTATTGAATCAAAAGCTTGACATTATTTTCACTTGAAATATTTGTTTTTATCTTTTTTTCAAGCTTAGAATCATAGTGTGCCTAACTTTAATACATATTATATAATAACTGCTTAACAATTAATATCCTTTGTCCTAACACTTCCTAGAAATTGTTTAATAGTGTTTACATTGTGCAATCTATTTAAATAGATTTGTGAGTTACTCCTTTGTCCTCTGAATAAAAACTCTTGGTTTTACTTTTACCTTTCGTTATGCTGTTTTCCCTCATTGCAGAATTTATTTCCTTTTTTTTTTTTTTTTTTTTTTTGTTTGTCCATTTTTTTTTAGTAACCAGCAGTCTAGGTTATGTATTTTGACAATTGTTTTCTTTAACTCAAGCCTTCAAAAATGTTTTCAAAGAATAAAAGGGCTTGCTCACTTTACTTTAAAAAATTACGGTGTAGGGTGAACAGTTATTTGAGGAGTGTCTATGAGAAAAGCAATATTATTTAAGCAAAATATTATATTCTTTAACAATGATCTTTTTTCTTTAACCTTACCAGTTGCCTTTGTTCTCATTTTTGTCAATGTGAATATAAGAAATACAGGCCCCTTTTTTATTTAATTGGGGTAAAAGTCAATGTCATAAGAGATTTCTAGTTGGTTTGTAACTTGAATTACTAGGATATACATTATATTTAAAAATACATTAGAAAATTTTAAAAATAGAATTTTAAAATTTAAACACTCTATTTTTAAAATTTTAAAAATTACAGGCTCACACCTGTAATTCCAGCCCTTTGGGAGGCTGAGATAGGAGGATTGCTGGAGGCTAGGAGTTCAATATATGTGTGTATATATAAGAAAAGACATTAGAAACACATTAGAAAATTTTATCGTACAACCAATTTTATTGGTATATACAAAATGTAATGAAAACATTGATTTCTTTTTGATGTTTTCAACAGTTTTTTTAGGACTTAGTAGAAAAGAAAGAAAGTTGGGAAAAAATATGGGGTCACTTTTATGTGTACCTAAATAGACCAAAAGTTAAAAATTGTGGCTTGTTTGCTGGCATGGAGCTGGTTTGAAATACTACATGTAGGTGGTTAGTTCTGGGATGGTTCCTTCTTTGCCTTGGACCCATAGCACGTCCAGACCTGTTTAATTGTCTTTATGGACATTTTTTGCTTTGTCGATATAACTTCAAGGATTATAAGTTTTTAATTTTATTCTTAGGTATGGAGAGAAAAACAATGCATTCATTGTTGCCAGCTTTGAAAATGAGGATGAGAACAAGGATGAGATCTCTAAGAAAGTTACCAGGGCCCTTGACAAGGTTACCTCTGATTATCATTCAGGATCTTCTTCCTCAGATGAAGAAACAAGTAAAGAAGTAGAAGTGAAACCCAATTCAGTGACTGCAACACCAAGCCCTGTGTACCAGGTAACCATGGAATGGATCCATATTGAAGGGCATGAGCAGAGCTTGCCAGGGTGTTCCAGGTAACCCTGCTCATGTTGTCCAAGGTTTCTGATTTGAGATTCTGGATTACAGTTCTTGCCCTTTCCACATTAAGGGAAAGCAGCTTCTCTGAGATGTAAATAAGCATCCTGAGTCATTTTATTAATATCGAAGATCTGCTTCAGCACACAATAACCAGGATAAATATATTTCAAAAAATAGAAAAGTCATGATGATAAAACATTCCTGATATTTTAAAATTGCTTATTTTATTCAAAAATTACAATTCATTTTTTGTAGTCTTTAACATTTCCAATTCATATCTTTGGGCTCAACTTTCTTCTCTCCCTTTCTGTGATTAAAGAGAAGCTTGACTAAATTACATTTTGGTTAATTTTTTACTCAAGCCCCAACAATGTGTCTGTTTTTCCTTTAATAGTTGAAGACAGTCAAAAGGCTAATGGGCATGTATTTACAGATTCATTGACTTATTTATTATTTATATATACATACCAAAGAACATTTGGTAAGAAGCAGAGTATTGGTATTTTGAGTATCAGAAACTAAACTTTTAAATTCAGCATATAGGTTGGGCACGGTGGCTCATGCCTATAATCCTAGCAACTCTGGGAGGCTGAGGCGGGAGGATCGCTTGAGGTCAGGAGTTCGAGATTAGCCTGAGCAAGAGCAAGACCTCATTTCTACCAAAAATGGAAAAAATTAGCCAGGTTGGTGATATACACCTGTGCTTCCAGCTACTTGGGAGGCTGAGGCAGGAAGATCAC